AAGGTAAACATGTTTGAAATGAGTGGAAATATAGACATTCTCTGAAGAAATAAAAACTACAGAAAAGAACCAAATAAAATTTTTAAACTGGAATATTCAATAGAAATTATTTAATATGAAGAACAGAGAAGAAGAAAGAACATAGGAAAAAAGAAAAAAAAAGAATGGAGTCTCAGGGATCTGTGGAATAATTATAAAAAGTTTCATGTTGGTGTCCCCCCCCCCAAAAAAAGAAGAGGAAGACTGGTGCAGAAAAATATTTAAAGAAATAATAGCTAAGATGTTTCTGAATTTAGTTTTAAAAAGCATACAGTTACAGAGTTAAACAGTTACAGAGTTAAGGAGCTCAGAGAACCTCAAACAGGATAAATTCAAAGAAATCAAGCCCAGACACATTATAATCAACCTTCAGAAAACCAAATATAAAGAAAAAAAGAATCTTGAAAGCAGCTAGAGAAAATCAACACATTACATATTTGGAAACAATGATTGTGATTACCATGGATTTCTCATCAGAAACCACAAAGGAAAGAAGACAGTGGAACAATATCTATAACGACTCCACTAAAAAAACACTATTAGAAGTAATAAATGAAGTCAGTAAAGTTGCAGTATAAAACATTAATATATAAAAATATGTGTGTGTTGTGTTTCTATACACTAATAATCAAAGTGGCAGAAAGAGAAATCAAGGAAACAAACCCATTTACAATTGCATCAAAAAGAATAAAGTACCTATGAATAAATTTAACCAAGGATGTAAAGGATCTGTACACTGCAAACTATTAGACATTGATGAGAGAAGTTAATAATGATGCAAATAAATGGAAAGATATTCTATGTGCATAGACTGGAAGAATTAATATTATGAAAATGTCCATACCACCAAAACAATCTACAAATTCAGTGCAATCCCTATCAAAATTCCAATGACATCTTTCACACAACTAGAACAAATAATCCTAAAATTTGTATGGAACCACAAAAGACCATGAATAACCAAAGCAATCCTGAGAAAGAAGAACAAAGCCAGAGGTATCAGGCTCCCTGATTTCAAACTATATTACAAAACTACAGTAATCAAAACAGTAGGGCACTGGCATTAAAAACAGACACATAGATCAACGGGATATTAGAAAGCCCAGAAATAAGCCCACGCATATATGTTCAACTAATGTTCAGCAAAGGAGGCAAGAATATACAACTGGGAAAGGGTGGTCTCTCCAGTAAAGGGTGTTGGAGAAAACTAGATAGCTACATGCAAAAAGAATGAAACTAGACCACTATCTTACACCATATATAAAAATCAACTAAAAATGGTTTAAAGACTTAAATGTAAGACCCCAAACCATAAAATTCCTAGAAGAAAACACAGACAGCAAGCTCCTTGATATCAGTCTTAGTGATGTCTTTTTAGATCTGACTCCAGAAACAAAGGAAACAAAAGCAAAAATAAATGAAGGACTACATCAAACTAGAAAGCTTCTGCACAGTGAAGGAAACCACTGACAAACTGAAAAGACAACCTACCGAATGGGAGAAGGCATTTGCAAATGATACATCCAACAAGGGGTTAATATCTAAAATACATAAAAACTTGTGTAATTTAACGAAAAAGTAAATCTGATTAAGATACGGGCAGGGATCTGGATAGACATTTTTCCTAAGAAGACATACAGATGGCCAACAGACACATGAAAAGATGCTCAACATCACTAATCATCAGGGAAATGCAAAGCAAAACCACAGTGAGATATCACCTCACACCTGTGGGAATGGTTATTCCCAAAAAGACAAGAAATAACAAGTGTTGGTGAGGATGTGAAGAAAAGGGAACGCTTGTATACTGTTAGTAGGAATGTAAATTGGTGCAGCCACTACGGAAAACAGCATGAGGGTTCCCCATAAAGTTAGAGCTACCATGTGTATACACCACACACACACACACACACACACACACACACACACACACACACTCATTCTCTCTCTGTCTCTCTTTTTTTCTCTCTCTCAGGAATACTACTCAGCCATTAAAATGAATGAAATCTTGCTACTTGTGACAACATGGATGGACTTCGAGGGTATTATGCTAAGTGAAATAAGTCAAACAGAGAAGGACAAATACCATATAATTTCACTTAATATGTGGTATCTAAAAAACAAAACAAAACAAAATCCAGACTCGTAGATACAGAAAACAGATTGGCAGTTGCCAGAGGGGAGGCCCTAATGGGTGAAGGAAATTAAGAAGTACAAACTTCCAGTTATAAAATAAGTCTTGGGGATACATCAATATAGTCAACAACATTGTACTAACTTTATAAGCTGATAGATGTTAACCAGACTTACTGTGGTGACCATTTCATAATGTACACAGATGTTGAATCACTAGGTTGTATACCTGAAACTAATACTGTACTATAGCTCAATAAATTAAAAGAGTATAAATACTGCAAAAAAATATAATATGTTACCTCTTTCATTTTTAACTTATGAACTTTTTCCAGACCTTTCTTAGAAAGTTAGCTTCATGAGACCAGACTCAGGAGTCCAACAAATCTTGTTTTGAATTTTAGCTCTGTTTATTGCTAGGTCTGTAATCTTGGGCAAGTTATTTAACTTCTACGAATTTTAGTTTCCTTTTTTCTAAAATGGGATTATATATAACATTTCCCATAGAGTTGTTAAAAGGATTAAATGAGATAGTGCATTTGAAGAAGTTAGTACAATGTCTGGCACAGAATGAGTACTCAGTAAGTGCTAGTTGCTTCTTCAATTTTTTTAGCCATTGTATTTTAACTACTTACTTTCTGATAAATGTCTCCAAATCATGAAATTCATTTTTAAGAAATGAATTTAAGATAATTTATACTGGTAACTCTTTTTGGATAATGTAAATGTCCAAGTAGACACATTTTGTGTAAAGAAAGGCATCCACAAGAATATTATGCAAAGGATGCTCCTGAGAAGATATGTAAGTCTTTTTCCTCCCACATGGGATCCCCTGTTGTGAACTGGCTCATAACCTTCACTCTAAGCTTCATCTACTGAAATTGGGTTCCATGTTGGTCTACATACAAGAATTTTAAAACTTTTTAAAAATATATTTTTAATTTTTTTTTTAAGATTTTATTTTTAAGTAATCTCTACACCTAACATGGGGCTTGAACTCCCCACCCTGAGATCAAGAGTCGCATGCTCCACTGACTGAGCCAGCCAGGTGCCCCCAAGGACTTTTTTTTTTTTTAACAAAAAGTACTTTTTTCTTTCAGCCTAAGAACTAATTATAATTCAAATGCACATCTTTGATATGAGCCCTGATAATTTTGCTGAACTAAGTATCAGTATCTCCTAGTGAGGCCAGTGAAGCCACGCACCTATGAGCAACTACCGGTGAAAGAATTTAAGGAGGACCCTGGAATTCAGATTTATTTTCCCATTCCTGCACCTAGTTTTGGCCAATGCTAAGCAGACCCCCAAAACGGTATCAGGTATACAGGCATGGGTTCTTGAATCATATAAAATGTCAACCTCAGCACTATTCCCATCTTCAGTGCTCCTGAAGTACCTCCTGGATTGTAGGCACTCAATAAATGAGAACATGCTTGAGGAAGGGAGACATGCTTGCTGGTAAATGTTTAACAACTGGTTCTCAGAGCGGGAGAGCTGACTGACAGCATTTGCCAATATATGTGGCAGAAGTATTCTCACCATGGCCGATTTAAACTACCAGTGGTTTAACAACTGTCTTTCAAAGTTCCTAAAAATTTAACAATGGGCCCTTGCAAGCCAGTTTGAGCTAGATCCAGCAAACCAATGGAGAGAGGGCGAGCAAGCCGTCTAGGAGGTAACCCTCGGTTGCTCTTCCTTAGCAACTGGCTAGTTTTCCTTTTCTGTAGTAGAGGACTTGTACCATGCTTCAGCAAGAGCCAAGGGCTCCTTTGACCCTACTTCCTTGGGCTGAAATGAATCCTGATCCCCACACCTGCCATCTACTCTCCGGGAGCCTGCCATGGAAAATGGTTCTCCTTAATGCCAAGAATGAATCAGCTTGACTTCCAGATTGGACAAATTCTCCAAATGCCTTGCTGCTGGCTTCCAGCTGCTAGATGGGGCCACCTGATAGCAATAAAATGCCTGATTTGTACCTGAGCTTGCTAGGATAGGACCCTCTTCCAATACTGAATCTTAGACGGCCCAGCTACCCTTTCCAGTTTCCCAGGCAAATCTCTTAATTCTACATGACCTCAGGGAAAAGGTCTTTATACCTTGTTTGACCCTGTTTCCACTCGCCCTTGCTGCTTAACAGCCAATACATTTTAAATCTGAACCCTTGATCACTTTCTTACTCTTAAAAGGCAACAAGCTTCAGAAGTTCAATATAATTATTATAATAGAGGATTCTCTCTGGTTATAAGAAAGGTAATGGATGGAGAAACAAGAGCCAGTTGGCCAATACCACTAATAAATGTTTGCTATACATGCATAAACATCTTTAAACCATCTTACCTTACTAATAAACCTTCTCAAATACATTTAATATAATGCTGTTATAGCAAGTTGATTAGATCAAAAGAATACCAAAACAATAAACTTCATTTTCTAAGGTTTTTTTCCAACCTGAACAGCTGCATTAATATGAAAAGCATCCCTATGGGCTATTAATATGAAAAAAAAAAAGCTTGACTTCCCAATCACTGGAAATTCTTAAGCATTTCTATAGGCCAGAAAGAATGCCTGTTTCGTTCAGCTCTTGAACAAAAATTAATATTCAGAGGCATGGTAAGAACACTGAGGCTCAGCCTTGATACATTTCAAACATTTACTTAAACATGACTCAGCCGTGGGATGTGAACTTTACATATTTACACATTCCACGGAGAAAAGAAGTCTTGTCTGGTCTGCCACTGTTTTCTGTTTGAGCGATCTCGATACGTTGGGAATAAAACTTAGTACGCAGTAGTAGTTACCAGCACGCCAGTAAATTTGAAGGCTCTTACCTGTACATTTGTAATCAGAGGCTACCCCTTTAAGTACGGCATCAAAAATGGATATTTCCACCCGCTGCTTTCTGTGGTGACAACTTAGAAGCAAAGAAGGCTGGGACACAATAAAGTATAAAAAAGGTTCCAGCTGCAAGTCACCAGCTCCTCTTCGTCCAGGCTGCCGAACAATAGTTATCCCAAGGGCTTGTCTAGCAGATGACCTTGTGGCGGCATGAAGACTTTCAAGAGAGATGACGCCTAGTCTTTTCCCTAAAGGAAAAGCTACGGTGCTGCTCAAGAGATCTTCCGCTGTTACGGTAGAAATACATGGCTGGCTGGGCTTAGCAACATCTGAATCAGCTTCTGGGAGATTTAATGAACTCTTGCCTGTTTTTTCATTATCCTTGTGCTCTTGCGATTTTGATTTGGGTATGGCCGTACAGGAGTAGGTCATTAGTGAGATTCTACTTGCAGTAATAAATATGTCAAAGGGAATAAAATTGAGATTTTTTACAATTGACGACTGGCGTGAGGGACGGGCGATGCGATGCTGACTAGTACCGCTATGCTGCTCTATTTGTACTATTCGAATTTTAACACTGTCACTGCCGATTCCACTATCCTGGGCGCCACTGTACCGGGATGAGGTCTCAGCCACGCTTCCATCAAATGTATCTGGTTTTTTCTGCTCTTGCTTGGAGATCTGTAAGGAAAAAGAAAGTATTTTAAACTAGCCACGTTCCAAGTGTTATATATAAAGGACGTTATAAGTATGTTAAAAAATGGCTCTCGCACAACTTCTATCAGAGCGATCATAAAAACAAAGTGACCATTCAAAAAACTATTCATATTAAAATGCCAAAGACATACTTCAGAAAAAGCATCATATGTGCGTTTCTACTACTGAAGGAGACTTTGGAGTATATTTTGAATCAGACTTCCTTTCTTTGGACTAACAGTAGTATATATTTAAAAATGCCTCTTTAAAAAGAATTATGTTAGTATTCTTCACAGTGATTTTTCAAGTAGTGCAATAAACTCTTTCCAAATCATGATTACTATTGGTTGAAATGAGATTTTCGGCAGAAGCAGTTTTTATTGTTTACCTTTGTCATTACAGAATTAATTTGCAAGTTTTCGGATAGGAAGAAAGAGAGGGAAAAGTCAGCAGTCTTAAATTATGAGGGACAAAGAAAACTATAAAACAAAATTATTTTATTCAAAATGAAGTTTATTTTCCTCTATGATAGGACTTGAGACAAGAGTAAATGTAAGTGATGAAGCAAAAAGTAGTAATTAAAGTCCCCGAAGGTGGATTTTTCCTTTGTGCACTAAAGGCTACTCATTCTCAAAATTTTCCATCAACCGCTCCCTACGTGGAGAACAAAGAACAACTTGGTGGCAGCACAGCACCGAGATCTCTACCCTGCTTCTTGGTTTCCCTTTCTTAGGTCTTCCCGACCATCAGTTTGTGATATGCTCTTTGTGGATATGCTAGATGTTTCATTTGCTTTTTCCTCCAAGTAACACAGATTCATTAAAGAAACCATGGCCTGGGCGCCTGGGTGGCTCAGTGGTTAAGCGACTGCCTTCGGCTCAGGTCATGATCCTGGAGTGCCGGGATCGAGTCCCGCATCGGGCTCCTTGCTCGGCGAGGAGTCTGCTTCTCCCTCTGACCCTCCCCCCCTCATGCTCTCTCTCTCTCTCAAATAAATAAATAAATAAATCTTTAAAAAAAAGAAACCATGGCCGATCTGAGAAAAAACAAAATCCTCCGTACTACCACCTTATCACCAAACATAACCAATGGTAATATTTTAGTGCACTTCCTTTCAGTATTTCTTCCCCACCTGTGCGAAGGTGCCCCCCTCCAAGCCCTGTTTGGTTATGATCATACCATAGAGCCAAACTACCCCAACTTGGCATATGCTAATATACTCTTCATAGTCGTTCTAAAAAGCTGCGTAATACTTCATTAGTGTTAGGAACATCTGTTCAACCATTTTCATATAATTGGGTATTCCAGTTTTTAATTTTTGACAACAAATCTCTATGAAAAACATCTAACAATATTTCCTTAGAACAGGCTTCTAGAAGTGGAGTTACTAGGTAAATGGTCTAAGAAAATTTAAGGTTACCAGTATTGTTAACACCGTTCCAAAAAAGGCTACATTAATTTATATAGCACCATCAATGGAAAAATATTCCCCAGGATATTGCTTATCATTTCTTAGGCTTTTCTTTAATTTGATCAATAAATATAGTATCAGTTTTCCACATGGTACAAATTATCATGAAAAATGTTAAAGGGCTGCTAACTAATTCAAGACAATGATGCAACAGTCATTAAAATTTTTTTTTTTTAAAGATTTTTTTATTTATTTGCGAGAGAGAGAATGAGAGACAGAGAGCATGAGAGGGAGGAGGGCCAGAGGGAGAAGCAGACTCCCCGCCGAGCAGGGAGCCCGATGCGGGACTCGATCCTGGGACTCCAGGATCATGACCTGAGCCAAAGGCAGTCGCCTAACCAACCGAGCCACCCAGGCGCCCCAGTCATTAAAATTTTTAAAATACTCCTTGCCTATTGATTTTAAAGTGGTTGAAGGAGATACATATTGTTAATAGAAGTCCAACACGAACTATATGAAGCAAAAACAACATAGCCCTATTCTTTGAAGACACTATGTCCTTTTCAATCATTCTTTCCGTCTGGTGCTATTTCCCTGCCTGGAGTGCCCCTCCTGAGCTTGCTGTGGCTGGCAAACATAGTTAGCCATCAAGACTCAGAACAAATGAGACTTGTCTGAGAATCGTTCTCTCATTCTTTTCCGGCTTGGCGATCCTAGCACTTTACACATACTTCAATTTTCTCCTACAATGTTCGGTAGTGGCATTATTAGATAGTGTTAAAACATTTACAGGCTTTAGAGGCAGATGGATGTGGGGTCAAGTCCATTACTTTCTGACTGTGATTTTAGACAAGTTACAAACCTCTCTAAGGCTGTATAACCTCATCTGTAAAATAGGGATTTAAATTTGATCTCAAGAGTATGAGGATTCAATGAGCTAACTTGTCTAAAGAGGTCAGCACAGTGCCCGGTATACAGTAAGTACCCAATAATGGGCAGCTGCCACAGGCCTGTCTCTTTTACCAGGTGAAGGACTGCCGGAGGGACTGGGCCACACCATTTGGCTTCTGTATATCACTAAGGAGTACTGGAGAGCCTGGCATGCTGAAGAGAGGATCCATAAATGTTTGATGATATGTTAGTTTCTGATAGAATATTAAATAAAAAAATTGCTCTGCAGACTAGAAACACATGATTGTTAGTATATAAATACGTGTGGACACAGACCTCCTCATATGCCGTACTCTTTAAGGTCTTTCTGGATATATTCATGGGCTCTTTCCTGATCTGTACTCTCCACCCTGTGGGCTGACCATACATCTGCTTGCTTATCTCACAGTCTCTGCTGGGTCCTCAGCCTCACACTGGGGACATTAATACTCAACCCACAAACTTGCTTCAGCATTAAACGAGTTAATGTGTTGAACATACAGCATACAGCGGCATGCAATAAAGGGTAAGTCAAGAAAAAGAAGTCACCTTCTCTGTGAAGACTTCCTCAACCCTTCCAGATGGTGCTAGTCTTTCCAGCTTTTACACTTTCATAACAAACCAGTATTTTTTATCACAGCCCTTTTCACACTGTGTTCTGTCTTTGTAAGCAACTGAAGGAAAAAAATACCACTGAGCATGTTTGTTATTTGCTAAACGTTGTTAGCACACACCTACATTTTCTATACTAAGTGTTAACAGCCCTTTGAAGGGGGTAGTGTTAGCTCCATTTCACAGGTGAGGAAACTTAATCAAGAGGTCCAAGGTCAGTCAGACAATAGGCTATGGGTAAGAGGGAACGCCATTAGTATTCTTAGCACACACCCTGTAACATAGCAGAGCTTAATAATTATGTGCTGACTGAATAAACAAGTGAACATATTTAACTTAAAAATTCAGTAAAATAAAAAGTAAGGCAAGTATCAAAATAATTTAATTTTAAAGCTTTTTGTTATCCCTATTATACCTCCAAATCCATTACCAACTAAGAGTTCTCAAATAATATGTGAAAAAAACTAGCCTAGGATTTACTGCCCATGTTTTGAGGCCTTACAAACTAAGTATCTGTATACAACATAATGAAGAAATAATAAAGAATTCCTTTAGGTTGAGTTCTGCGGCAAATTCAAATCCAGAACTCAACCATTTTTATTCTATCAGGAAAGACGACCACGGTTAACTCCAGGGGACTACTTTCTATGCACAGAGCATTCCATTTTCTTTTTCAGATTTACAGATTTGTATTTAAAATCTGGTCTCTCCTTCCCTAAAGTAAATTAAGGGTTCCCTAATGGTGGTAACATGACAAAACAAACCGCCTGTAGGTAGACATGGAGTGCCCAGCCCTGTTACGTGCTGAGATTGCCATAATTAGCTCTAGTGAATGTCAAGTAGACTGATCTTGAGATATAAATAACCAGCAAGGGCAGGACGGCAGCTATCAGCTTGGGTCACGCAGGTTATTGAACAGAAGTCAGATGGTAACTAATTCTAGTCACTACCGAGCAGAATGGAATTTGAACCAATGACCCAGAGATGAAAGACTCCCTCATTGGAAAAAAAAAAAAAAAGTACAACCTTCTCGGTACTAGGAAACTAAATTCTTAAAACTGGGTTAAAAGCCAAAATTTCCTCCATTTTTCCAAGTTTCCACACTATTTGTAGCACTGAAATAAATAAGCTGATGATTTTTGAGACATATTTGAAAATCCATTGGTTTGTCACCAGTTCACTGCAGATTTATCTCTTATACTAGAGTATCTGGCCTGCTCTTGAGAGAAGTTTTATAATTAATTATGTGTGCTAGGCCCTAAACTTGGGCATCAATTTACTATTCCTTTGTGGAAAAAGAAAAGTTCACCATGTAGTAACTCTGAAAAGAACTTTTGCTTTATTATCGTCTGAGGGGACTAATAATTTAAGTTGTCAGAAAAGAGCAGTATCTGCTTGCTGTTAGTGAGCGCGGCAGAAACATGGGTGTCTGGGCAGTGCTGTTACCTCAGCTCTCCCACTCTTTACCTAACTCATTTAAAATGAACAATAAAAGTTTTCTTTAATTAGCTACTGGTGTGCATTAACATGATCATGATTAAACCATAAAAACCAACTGTACATTACTCTGGTCCCCTCTTCCATATGTTTTGAATTATTCTGTTTGAAAATGTACTTTGCGTCCCTTTTAAAAGTTCGACCTTCTGCTTTCAGAGAATTAAATGCATATTACTGCAGTGAAGAAGATAATGTTTCAGACCTCCAGGCATATATTAAACACACTGGCAGCACTTGAGACAAAATGCTTTACTTATTAGATACTTCCTATTCTAAACAGTGTCATCAAAGGCTAAAAACAAAATCCATATAAAAGCTGCACAATGCTTCCACACAGAACCCGTGCCAAAATCCCTGTACTTTCCAACTAATGAGGAAAGGATGTGTACTCTTAACATATGAATGTAAGATTTTCCAAGCATTCACTTTAGGAAACTGAGCTATTGATTCCATATGGGTTATGTTAAATGAAACTGTATTGGTAAAATAACCTTTAAGATATCTGGCATGATAACTATAATTAAACAATATTTAA